TGCCCCCAGGAGACAGTGGCCGGGCCGGGGCTGGCAGACCTTCAGGCCAGCAGCCAGCTCAGGAGCAAAAGAATGAGTTTCGGCTCAGACCAGAGTTTGGTCTGCACCCACAGAAAAATGACTTTAAACTGGAGGTCATAACAAAAACCTGCACATCAGGTTCTGGAATTTGAGCCCCCAAATGGTACGCCAGGGTTTGTGACTATAGCACACATACACATGTCTCTGGGAAGAGGGTTCCCAAGACCCTGAAAAAGGTTAAGAGCTACAATGAAAAAAAAAAAAAAGAAAGAAAAAAATCAAACTGAGGGCAGGTCGCTGTACTGAAAATGTTAAACATCAACTGCTGTAATCCTACTCACTCTCCCGAGAGATAATGCATTGCTGAAGTGATCTGTCTACTAAAAGGGAGGAAAAGCCCAACATCCAAGCCTGGAAAAGCATAAGATGTATGGTTTGGTACTGAAGTGAGAAAACATGACACATAAAATAACAGCAGTACTGTGTTAACATTCATGTTTACTCTCAATTGTTATTGAAGACTTCTATAAGCAGTGGTAACATCCTGAAACCAGAAAAACAGCTAGACTCAAAATATGATTTTTAAAAAGATAACTCTTGCTTAAATCTGTTTTTCTCTGTCATGAATTCTTATGCAAAAACCTTCTCCTCCATAGCCTAGACCCCCTGGTTGTCTCAGCAGTACGTCTCATTCTGGGCTGCCTTGAGGTCCTATTCCATCAGGCACAGAAATCAAATCATCGATTAAGAAATTTCCTGCCAAAGCTCATTCTGATGTATTTTCAATTTGCAATCATCTCTTCTGCTGCCTATTTTTACTAACGTTAAGTGACTGTCACATTTTCTTTTACTGAAAAAGAACCACCCTTAGACTGGCCACATTGTTGGGCTCACGGCATTTACTCCACATAAAGCCACACTTCTCCTGCTGGAATGTGGGTTCCAGGGATGCACAGTGGCAGGCAGGGTCATGGGAGAAATTGGGCTGTTTTCCTACAGTGCCAGTCTGACCTGATAGTAAGTCATTTCACATGATTGTTAAACCACAGCAAACAAACAATGCACGAATTTTTAATATTTAAAAACATGAGATAAAAAAATCAATGACAGTAACAACAAAAGTATGAGATATCGAAGCAATTTGAGTTTGTGAAGAGTCACTTGGGTCTAGGCCCTAGTCTGCAGGAATACTCTTCACTACCCGTGGCCAATAGGAGTTTTTAGTAGGAAAGTTAAGAAATACTACCATAAGGTGCTGCAGGGACAGGGGAGATGCAACTTAAAACAATAAACACAAAACCACCAAACGGCATGGCCTGAAGGATCAAAACACAAAACAGTAACAGAAATGGAGCATTTCTATGACAAGTACTGCTGTACTGAGGGCCTCACGTAGATCAACTCATTTCGTCCGCTCAGCAACCCTGGGAGACAGGTGCTGTATTATCTCATTTTGCAGAAAAGGAAACAGAAGCACAGATGATGCTGTTTATTTCAGTATTGAAATGCAAAAATGCAAAAATGATGCTGTGGGGATTTGAACCCTGGCAGGCCAGCTCCAGAGCCCACCCTCTGCACTACCATGCTGCCCTGGCTCGGGTGGCTTCAACCATGACCTCCTTGGTGTTTCCTCATGCCACAGGCATTGCAGCCCGGCACTGTGCTGGGGGCTATGATGAACAGCCCAACTTGGGCTGACAGCAGTTACACTGAAAAATGGGTCTTCTACCTAACAGATCAGGAGACAAACACAGAGGGGTAGGGTAAAGCAACAAATGCCAAATTATATTTAATTTAATAATAAATACATTTATTAGGATTTCAACTCAGGTTTGTCTGACTACAAAGCTCAGGCTCTTTCTGTGCGGCCTCTCTCTCTTGGGCAGATTATCCCACTGCTGCTTCGACCCTTCCTGAAACCACCCTCAGTCAAGGCGGCCCTGTTCGGGGCACATGGTCCTTCCCCTCCCATCAGTTAAATGCCCCCTTCCTGACTGAACTCTCACCAGCTTATGTTCTCCACATATGATGATAGCCCACCACATAAAGTTCATTTCCAAAATGCAATTTCAAGGATCTCGACTCGACTCCTTGGTCCAAGTCTGTGTTTGTAAAGAGTAATCTGAATTTTACACTTAGATTTTTTTCAATCTTTGTTCTCCTGTACTTATATCCTTAACAAGTCAAACATCTCCAAACCTAATCTTATATCTGTAAGTTTTTAAAAAGAAGTGATGTTTGTTAAATGACAGCAAGCAGAAAAGCACTTTAAAATATATTCTCCTAGCTACAGCAGGCAGCTAAAGCCGGGGGGATCTGGAACTGGCCCATGAAGACTTTCTGACATATGCAGACAGTGACCAGCAACCAATGCCAGTCAGGCCCTAGGCATCCAATCACTAGAAGGGATTGATGGTGATTTTTGGAATCACATAGGTATTTGAGGTGCTCTGTCCTCTAAATATAAATACAAAGCAGGGGTTCTCGGCCTTAGCACTATTGACATTTTGGGCTGGACAATTCCTTGTTTGGGGGCTGCCCTGCACATCATGAGAAGTTCAGCAGCAACCCCAGCCTGGATGCCAGTGGCATTCCCCCCCTCCCCAAACCTAACAATCAAAACTGTCTCCAACTGTTACCAAATACTCTCTCAAGGGCAAATACCCTCTCAACCGCCCAGCTGAGATGCACTGATGTAACACAGAAGCTATTATGTGGTCACAGACACACCTTGCTTCCTCTTCGGTTTGATGCTTTTGACAGTCAAGAAAAGTACAGTTTGATTGCATCTTTAAATCATTTTTTAAATTTATGATTCTGCATTTTTTTTTTTTTTACCTTTTGAACCCCTTCACCCATTTTTAAAATCACGACCATTATTTTCAAATACTCGAGATTGGCTTAATTATGCAAAAAAGCCAACATTTGATTGTCTGATAATTCCACATTTGGATATACCTTGTTTCACATTTATTAATCAAAGTTTTCAATAAAAAGGAAGAATAAATCAATAAAGGAATACTAAAAGGAATAATGGATAGATTCATTAATGCTTTAAGACTGTGGTTGTTTTTTTAAAAAGGGTATTTGGATTCATTATAAGTTATCCAAATTGTTCTTGTTAGTCATGTGAGAATTTTATCACTCTTAGAAAAACTTCTGAATTAAAGTTTATTTTTAGAATGTTCTCTAGTTCCTGAGATGTTCACAATAATACTATTTACTACACAGACTGTGGTATAATTCAGTCACCTAAACATCATCTAAAGGGGTTTATTTCAGAGGGTTATTAAGAGACCTGGCATGAGACGATTCCATCAAAATGAACAGAGTATTTTAGTGACTCACGGTCATTTAAAATCTCATTGAACCTTGAAGCAAAACTGCACTACTTTGTTAATACTGAAATAAACAGACCGGTGAGTGTAATGAAAATCCAAAGATCACGCCAAGCCAGCTGTCGGGACACTCGGCATTGTTCCAGAACCCTCGACCTGACCACAGAGGCAGTTCCTCTCAGGGTAGGTCACCAGCCTTCGCCATCTCACAGCCCCGATTTGAGAAACACATTCATGAAAAGAGCTGGTTTCCAGTTTGTTGCCTAACAGTAGGAAATGACAAAGGCTTAGACCTGCTAGGGTCAGCTTCGCTTTTATTAGTCATTGAAAAAACACAATTAAGAACTAGGAATAGGGCTTCCCTGGTGGTGCAGTGGTTGAGAGTCCGCCTGCCAATGCAGGGGACACGGGTTCGTGCCCTGGTCCGGGAAGATCCCACATGCCGCGGAGAGGCTGGGCCCGTGAGCCATGGCCACTGAGCCTGCACGTCCAGAGCTTGTGCTCCGCCACGGGAGAGGGCACAACAGTGAGAGGCCCGCGTACCGCAAAAAAAAAAAAAAAAAAACTAGGAATAAAAGCACAACCTTTTCAGGTCACGAAGAGCCACGTCACACTTTAGACTGCAGGACTGTAGGTGCAAACTAAGCGAATAATCAGAGTTTTGGCCTGGCTCCATCAATATTTTAGAAAAGCAGCGATTTCTACTTGAAGACAAGAGTCATAGTTTTTTATGCTTCTGAAGTATTTGATACAGGGGAGGATATAATTTTGAGTGTGACATTTTTGCGCAGTAGGCATGCTGTAAGGTTAAATGATGAACACCAAAACATTATTTCCTGTAGCAATGAAAACAGAGCAGAGACAGACCAGCTAAGGAACAACCAAATCAAGCCTAATCCAGGTTATCCAATTACCCAAAGAAAAGGGAAAGGGAGCAGCTCACTTTCCCACTTGCCACCTATTAGGTACAGCAGCCCAGGAGCTGATTAGTGGGCATAAGAGAAAGGGGCGAGTCAAGAGGCAGAGATACTCGCCCTTTCTTAGCTCCCAAGGGAACCCTGACACTGGCCCTCAGCTGTCTGAGTGCTGTTCAGCTGGAAAGGAAAGAGAACGCTGGCTGAACTGCCCAAACACAGCAAGGAGCAATCAGGTGTAATTCAAATGTTCATGACCTTATAGAGATTTCCATATGACACGTCTACTTAGAACTAATCAAAATTAATATAATACACAGCACACTTTGCAAAACATAAAGAAATCAATTGTCAATATTTTACTACTAATATACGTATGAAGAACCCACAAATGGACTTTCATTTTCTTGGGAAATTTAGACATGGGGCATATCTTTTTGTACTAGATAGATTGTAGAGCTTCTAAAAGTCCATGGTTGTCTTTTTTTTTCAGAAAATGTAGTGACTTTCATAACTTAGGAGCAACCGCTGCTTGTTTTAACACTGGGCACTGAGGAAGTCAGATGTATTCCAACCACATTTCAGTGACATTTCTGTAAAAACAGAAACAATGCACTCGATGCCTTTTACCTTAAAAAGCAAAATGTTTAGGTGGAACATTTAAGCAATCAATTTCCCTCCTTCCCCACCCTGTAACACATCCTTTAAACAGCTCCCAGCCGCTCACCTGGATGACCTTATAGAAGTAGGCGTACTGCCGTGCTGTGTTCTTATACTGGCTGAAGACGTCATGTATGGCCTGTGTGGACTGAAGGTAGCGAACCTCATCCTCTTCGAAGTAGAGAGGGGTGTCGTATTCGCTGGGGAGGGTCTGAATATAGGGCTGCCAGAAAGAGTTAGGGTTGGCTCGCTCACACAGCAGATGAAAGGCCAGTGTGATGTTTCCCATGGCTTGAAGAATTCGGTCTTGAGAATACAAGGGCCCTGAATTAACCCAGAAGGTAACAGCATCAGTTCCACACACTGCTTTAAAAAGTGTTCATTCAATATATACTAAAGTTATAGGAATATCTTGATAGTCATGTAACATTTAAGGTAAGGTGCCCTCTTCTTTTGACATTCTTCTACTATGTCAGATTACAAGTGCGGAAAACACTTCGTGTGGATTTGGGGAAATATTTCAGTAGTTGAGAAAACGACCAAATATAGTCCCTAGCGCCACAAAATGAAATTTTATATATTTTTATCATTTTTGCTCTGTCTTGAACAAACAGAAATTATTCTCACCCAGCACTGAATTTTTAGCAGATTCAACAGTCATTAGTAATTTTCGTGGAACCCATAAAAATAATTCTTCTGCCTAGGAGGAAAAAAATAATAGTAGAATCACCAAGACATGTTACAATTGTCAATCCAGCTACATCTATGGTCAGAAATCCAATCACAATGAAATACGACTGAAGGTTGCCTATAAGCATTTTATTTCTAATTATCAAATACACTTTTAAATGTAAACATTTATGTTACAGTTAAATGAGTAGAAGCATCGTCTCGAATCCTGTTTCCAAAGAAAAACTATATACACTGGGGAAAAAAAAAATCAGAAAAGCAATTCGAAGCAAATATAACAATTTGGGAATAGAGCACAAGGGTGCTTATTTATTCTTTGCTGTACTTCAGTTCTAAAAACAAAAGAAAAAAAACTCTACCTCCAACAAAAACCCTAACCTGCCAGTGTGAATTGCTATTGAGTTTCTGAAGCTAGAGTAACATTCCTTCCTCCACATGCTTGACCTTAAAGCACACAGATACCAGCGAAAGCACAAGCCCGTAAGACATACTTTGGTTACTAATTTTTTCCCAAGGCATTATCTCACTACTTTGGCAACATGAGATGCTTCTTTCAGGAAATCTTATCCATGTGTCTATACTGCCTGAAGCATGCACATCAACATAGTGCCTTGAGTGTGGTGATGGTGTCACGGGTATATGCATATGTCCCAGCTCATCAAAACATATACGTTAAATATGTGTGATTTTGTATATCAATTATGCCTCAATAAAGCTTAAAAAAACATGCACATAGTGAAGACGGACCACCGCTAAGATAGTCTGGGCAGCATCCATACTAATGACGCTTCTCATCAGAGATGAGAAAAACGTGTGACAGCTGGTTTACGCTTGCCATTTACCAATGTCTACTATTTATTTTTATGTGTGTCTCATCCCTTACTATATCAGCCTCATGAAGGAAGAGATCCTGGTGTTTTTGGAAGCATGGTATAATAACAAGCAAGGTACTATTCACACACTAGATATTTAACAGGTATCTAATAAACCAGTGAATGGCTTATCAAGGTATCATTGAAAAGTAAACTACGACTTGACCAGAGATGCTGCTGGAAGTTTGAAGGGACCCAAATAAATAACATCCATTTCCTCCACCCAAGTTCTGAACCAACTGAGAGAGACACAACAATACAACAGATGGTGACACAAAATATCATCTACGGAATCCCAGAATTAGACAGACTCCCCACCTAGTTACAGGCAGGACTGGAGCCCCGACAGGCCTCCCCACGTGTGGCCTGCCCTGTAAAACTCCCAGGGCGGAGAGAGCAGGGTAGAGAACACATATGGCAACCAGCTCCCACGGAGAAAAAGGCCAAGCCCAGATCCTTCTTCCAGAACCATCAGATCGTTACACCTCCTCTCTAGGAGCGGCATGATGAGGGCCAGAGAGAGGCCTAGAGCCCCGCCGGGGGCTGCTGCTCCCTTCATCTGGAAGGAAGGACCCAGAGTGGAGAAGAGCCTTGTCCCTCAGCACGTGGACATTTCTCTTCTTCTTTCCCCTCCCCTCCGCTGCTGCTGTCTCCGTAAGTGGTACCTCCAGCCACTCAGTTACCCACTCCAGAAAACCGGTCCGCATCTCGACACTGCCCACCCTCCACCCCACCCACATCCAATCCATCACAGGGCCCTGTGTGTTCTCCCTCCAAACCACCCAAGCTCACATCCTCCTCTTCACTCAGATCTCAAAAGCCCGCGAGACATGTTCTCTGGTCTCCTAACAGAGTTTCGGAGATGTGACCCGACTTGCCCCACTCACTGGTTGATAGCACAGTTCCAAGGAGGACGACCTAGGAGGGGCTGTCTAGAGCCCTGGGCTGAGGCCCCCAGCCGGGAGACCGCGGGTCAGGGAGAGGGAGGTGGGCTGCACGCTGCCAACACGCCCACAGTGTGCTCAGGACAGCCCGCGACGCTTGTCTCCAAGTCCTGGGCCCTCCACGCCACACCACCCAGACGCTCTTAGAGCCCGCCCCCCAGACCAGCAGCTCACCTACAAACTCACCTTGATATCTCTTGTCGCTCTCAAACCGAAGCCCTCTTCTTTGAAGTTCACCATTTCAAAACCCTCTACAGAGGCTCCATTTTCAGAGGCCCATTTCATTAGATCAGGAAAGTAATCTTCTCTTTTTCCATCGAAAGTAACAGACAGACCTATATCAATCCGTGTTTTAGAAAACAAGAGCTACTTTTAGAACATATCAGTCATGCTGTTCTCAGAAAATAAAAAACAGACCACTGGAACTAACTACCTAGAAATAGTAATAAAACTCCGATCTTGAAAAAAAAAAATCAAAACTGACCACCAGATGTCACAGTACATACCTTAACTAGTGGCAGGAAAGGTGAGTTAAAATCCTGAACGCCCTGCTGGTTACAGAGCAATAGCTGCTGGTCCCAGGTAATATGAATATTGGAGGTCAGGTTCTATTAGGTGCAATAACAGGGATGGGGAAAGCCTTCATGACCACTGCAGGTTTCTAGAGCAGCCTGCCATCTCTCATGTGCACACTGCTTTAACAAAACTCCCACGAAAACAAAAACCAGTAGCTCACATACATGCACAAGGAGACGTCTGTAAGGAGGAGCCCTAGACCCTGATTCTAAGAGCACAAAACTGGAACGCTCTGAATTTCCTCCAGCAACTTAAATGAGCAGCATCTATATGTATCACTGTAAGTGAAACACAAAACTTAACAATGGTTTTCTGAAAGTCCAGTAGTATGACACCATTTACGTAAACTGTTAAAATACCAATTACTACCATCTATTTGTATGGGGTTATACATGAAGCAGAAACACATTCACTGTAAAGACAACCCCCCCCCCAGGGGGAAGGGAGGGGAGAGGAGGGAGTGGGATGGAAGTGTGGGGCTTCAGCTGTGCCTGAAATGCCTAATTTCTTAAAAACAAATATAAGAACCAATCAAAGCACGGAGGGAGGGGAAGAGATCGGACCAGTAGCTGAGAAGGAAGAAAAGAAGAACTTGAACCGACAAGACTCTGGCATGTATCCAACTGAGACAGTAGCTGCTTAGGTGTTATTTTCGGCACTTTTCAGCACGTTTGAAATATCAAAAAAGATGAAAAGCCATGCATAGGAAAAATCATTATTTTTCTGAGGAATAAAGAGAGAGGAACAGGAACTTCGACCACATGAGGTGCTGGGCACAGAACCCAGCCCAGGGCCTGTGGCCATGTCCCCAAGATACAATTCATGGTAACTAGATCTGTGAAGCAGGACTGCCTGGCCTGGGGCCGTGCCAGGCTAGGTCTGCAAAGGTACCTGCTAAATGGAGAAAACTGATTTTGTTAGGGATACTCTAAAACAGAATTTACTCTTCCCTTATTGAGAACTAGTGAATGCTCTAACTTCAGTGCCAGTTATAGTAAATGGTCTCTACTCAGCACAGAAACTCAGGATATAAAAAAACTTTTCAGCAACCAATTTTGGTGAGCCAGGATTAGCACAGTCTACCATTTAATGCAAATTAACACATTATAAAAGAACCCGTCCCCATTGAGGGTTTGAGACTATCTAACCTAAAGACTGCATGTTTGCAGATGTGCATGGGAGAGCGGTAAAACTACTCCCTAAGAGGACAAATACAAAACAAACCATCTTCCCACTAACTTTCATGGCAATAAATAAAAGGGGAGTCAAAGAAGTTCTCTCATCCTTCTGAACGCAGGCTCCTTATTATGCTTTCTCCTTCTACCTTCCGTGTGGCCTGCATACAAATCTACTTTTTGTGCTTTACAGCACAAAAACAATAGGTATATTGAATACGCTTTTCCGAATTGACACTTGGCCCCATTGCCAGCCTGACTGAGAATCATTAAGATGCCTACTGAATACACCCTGGAAAAACACAGCTGGAGAAATATAACTACATCTCTTATTAAATCAAGACATATTTGAGTTCATTGTAAATCTTGACAAGACACTAACCAATCTGTATATATCTGTGTGTTGACCACACAACACCATGTACTGACCTCAAACCCTAAAGGAAACACAGGATGCAAAAACAAATTTAAGTATGTATTTCATAAAATAAAAATAAATGAAAGTTATACCATCTTAGTCCCCAGATAGAAAAACTGTCCCCGCTGAAGCTCAACATTTTTATCCCTTCCAAAGCAGCAACGGCACCTCTAAAATGGGGAAAATCCTGATGGGTTCCCAATGCAGTTCCCCTCCCAATATCTAGGAGCTCTTCTACAACCACCATCCAGACAGGCACGGAGGCCTGAGGGTTGATGCCGAGACCTTCATTCTCAAAGCCTCTCTGCTTATGCCAGGTTTCCACAGGATATTATTAAAATGTGATGATCATTTGAGGAAATTTACCTTTTTGTTTTTTTCGTATTTTCTCAACTAGAGACCGGATCTGCACATACTCTTCCCATTCTTTTCCTGGGCCAGGGGCAGGACTACTGCATTCTGTAACACAAAAACCATGGCACCCAAACATTTCTTTCAGCTTAACCTGTTAGTCTTCAGAAGAAAGAGGAGCTGGGTTTTGTTGTTGCTGTTGGTTTACTTTTAAAGGACAAAGATATATAGCCGTGATGACAGAGGTGAGAAGTATGAACCAGGTATACTTTTTTAAAATTAATTAATTAATTAATTAATATTTGTTTTTTGGCCGCGTTGGGTCTTCGTTGCTGCGTGCGGGCTTTCTCTAGTCGCGGCGAGCGGGGGCTACTCTTCGTTGCGGCGCGCAGGCTTCTCATTGCAGTGGCTTCTCTTGTTGCGGAGCACGGGCTCTAGGCAAGCAGGCTTCAGTAGTTGAAGCATGTAGGCTCAGCAGTTGTGGCTCACGGGCTTAGCTGCTCCGCGGCATGAGGGATCTTCCAGGACCAGGGCTTGAACCCGTGTCTCCTGCATCGGCAGGTGGATTCTTCAACACTGTGCCACCAGGGAAGCCCATAAGCCAGGTGTACTTTTTAAAGCACGTAAACCCTCTGAAACCACCAGGCCACATATTACACTGTGACCACAGGACACAGGTGTGAGCACCTAACTTGCATCTACCCCATTCTTGCTGCTCTGATCAATTTTCCTCAGAATACTCATAACAGGAGAATCTAAAAAGCTAAGCTAAAATGCAAAACATTTTCCTGAAAACTCTTGTGGATGGTGAAAAGAAGGTATATTAAGAGTCAACGTTTTTTTCTAGTTAAACTCCATAACAATGGCTCCCTAAGGGAACCAGTTAAATTGGACATAAGGACAATTAGTCAACAAACATTTCACATCCTTGTGTAAGGCTCTATAATAAGCACTCTGGGGGAGTTACAAAAAGAGATGGCACAGTTGCCGCTAAAAAAGAAGCTAAGATTCTGTCGGGCCAAAACCGAAAGACCTACCCGCCAAGACTGGAGCCATGGCAGTGGAAGGCCGCACCCCGGGCACCCGGCCTGTCAGCGGCCCTGACCTTTTAAGACAGTATCAGTTTAAAGAGAGAGACCCCGACCACATTCCTGATAAACCTACTGGCCCCCTTTGTTCCCCACAGAGAAGACTAGATGTGGTAAATAATCAACAGGGGTTGGGGGGGTAGGAACTGGGAGATGGGGACTGACACATACACACCATTGATACCATGTATAAAATAGACCACTAATGAGAACCTGCTGTATAGCTCAGGGAACTCTACTCAGTGCTCTGTGGTGACCTAAATGGGAAGGAAATCCAAAAAGAGGGGATATATGTATATGTATAGCTGATTCATTTTGCTGTACAGTAGAAACTAACACAACATTGTAAAGCAGCTATACTCCAATAAAAATTAATTTAAAATTAATAATAATTAACAATAACTAGTTATGCATTGACTCATAACTTAAGTTAACCAGTCTTACTTCACTCTTCTATCAACAAACACTGACTGACGCCCCAGAATACAGGAGCCTGTCCTGAGGCCGCCTGTTGTCCAGCAGGAGAGACAGGTGTGTGGGGGGGCAGGCACAGCCGTGCTCTGTGGGAGCCCACACTGACCTTCTGGGGGGCTCCCCACAGTGGGGATGGGAGAACTCAGGGAGGGACCTGACCCTGACTCGGTTGCTGCCTGTCTGCCTGCCTGTGTCAGGGAAAGAAAGCAAAATTTTTATTTGGGGGTTAGCCTCTCACATAATCTAAACATAAGGGGCCAAGAAAATGAGACAAACATAGTTAGTTAATCGAGTGACCATGGCTAAATCTGAAACATACAGAGCACCAACTTAAATTCACAATTTAAAGAAAGAAGTTACCAGTTTACACTAACTTGCTAAAGCAAGTATCGGCACTTAACAGATATTTAATTTCCTAGAACCAAGAACGGATAACCTCGATATGTGAAATTGGAAAACTATTACGAATCACTGAAAGTAAAGGGGAGGGAGCCCAGTTCCTACGGTTTGCTCTCTGAGCAGCACGCTGCGCTCACCTCTGGCTTCACGGCCCAATGACCTTCAACCTTCACGTGCCATAGCTCACGTGGGGCTCGAGACACTCTATTTACTGATGCAAACATTGCGACTCAGCAGGGTTAAGGAACTGGTCCAAGGCCACACTGTTAAAAAGCAGTGAAGTTTGGCCTGGCCCACCGGTGCAGGCGGCGGGTGGTTATGCTATAGCAGCTCTACATTCATTCGTTCTGTCGTCCAAGCCTCCTTTAACCATAGTTACAGTTGGTACCGTACCTGTTAGGTAAAAGTTACCTGTTGGAACCTGTTGGTACCGTACCTCCATTTTTACAGGCAGGGAAGCTGCAGGCTGGGGAAGATTTGTAACGTGCCAGGTCCCATGGCTAAACAGGCTGGGATCTGAACACAAGTTTGTTTCACCTCCTGCTCCCCAGACCAGGGACCCCCACGCAGTGCAGGGGTGTGAGGAGAGAGACACACGTGTCCCACACAGAGGCGGGAAGGCCGAGCCGAGACTTACTCTGCAACAGCTCACTGGTTAGGTTCAAGGTTTCCTTCGGGGACACGCTTGCTGTAGCACCAGTGCCTGATTTCTGCGTTTTTACTCGACTCTTCTTACCCATTTTCTGACTATGGAGAAGAAAAGGAAAAAACAAAGAGAAAAGCATTATATTTCCAAAGAACAAAACTGAGTAATAAAACGTGGCACAGCAGTGGCTCAGCCTTGAGACATTAAGATCTTACCTCAAAGGTGCCATATCCTGAAGTTTCCTTCCAGAAAAAGCAACGTGTAACAAATACTAGTATTTGGAGGCACTCAAATGTGAAAAAAAAAAATCTGCTTTGTAGTCTCTAGAAGAAAAGTTCGTTCCTTTTCACCTACAAAAACTACAGTAGAAGCAAGTTTTACTCTAGAATTTTTTTCAAATTACATAGACTTCATTGTATATCCTAGTATTCTGTGATACTACATAGATAGAAGTTACATCTACATTCATGTATCACAAACTATCACATGGCCACAAAAACCTATATATTCTCTCCTCCCTCTGCTTTAAAAGAATAATTTCCCATAAAGAATAACTATATCATAAGCAACAGATTAGACTCTCTAGACAAATGCTGAAGACATTTTAGAGATCAAAGAAACTTCAGAGAGCTAATTCAATTCCTTAATCTTGTTTCAAGGAAAATCCAAAGTACCTTGCCCAGGGTTTCACAGGAAGTCGATGGCAGACCCTACCCTCGAAAGAGGTCTCCACTGCCTCCCAGCCTGGCACTTCAACCACGCTGGAGCCCTCAATGGTCTAACAAATAAGAAATGGCCAGGATATGCCACAAGCAGACGAGACAGTGGGACAGGGGATGCACCGATGGATGCCGGGAGTCAGGAGATGTGTCTTGAAGAAAGAAAGGGACTGGGATGTATGAAGAAAGGGTGGGCAACTCAAAGGCAGGGCAGGAATGAGGGAAGCACATGGCAGGGCAGGGGGCACAGCACCCCAGGTGGAGAGGTCTCTGTGGGGAGCGGTGGGAAAGAGGACCCCAGCTGCAGGAGGACTGCAACCGTTGCCTGAGGACTTTGATCTGAGCATTCCTCCTAAGACAGAAGCGCTTGAGGATGACAACCCAGGAAGACGGAGAGAGATCCCCCCAGAGAAGCCACTGGAGCCACCCACACACTAATGAATACCACACACCACGATGATGCTCCATGGACCCCTCGCCAACAAGCTACAATTAATCTCAAGGGAGAACCAAAAGGCGAACTCTGACCTACTTGTTTTTTACAAAGAGAAATGACTATTGTAGTGTGGAGAGCTGTGATGGGACAAAAGGTTGAAAATGCATAGTCTCCTGCAGCCTAGCTGATCACTGATTCCACTGCAATGACTCCATGCAAATACAGGCCACGCTAAAACAACAGAAAATAGCCTTCTATTAAAGGGCTATCTTATGTAGCTTCTCTGATGCGTCTGATGCATGAAGTATACTTTGTAACTTACGTATCTAAAATGCCTTCTAAAACACAAGAGTGGAACACATAGGGCCAGGCGCCCTGGAACAAAAGTGAACAGATAACAATACCTAAAACTTCGGCAGCAAAGAGAATTAGTTATTTTGAGATCAAAAGCAGAAGGAAGGGCTTCCCTGGTGGCGCAGTGCTTGAGAGTCCGCCTGCCGATGCAGGAGACGCGGG